TAAACCTAAACCCTGAAACTCAAGCTCTTGATCATGATTCAGGGCTCTTCGGACAAATGGTCAACCCCGTAGCCGGATCAGCTTTTCGGCTTAAGGGTTGTTTATGCATCGAGATATAGACCTTAAGCCTTATAAGCCCTAAATCCTAAACCCTAAAACCTAGACTGGAGAACTTAGGCCTTTTCGGGTTTAGGGTTTAGGATTCTTCGTTGAGGGTCTCGGTTCGTCTTTGAAGGCTTACAAGTTTAAGGTTTGGGGGTCTTGGGTTCCTGTTCTGGTACATTTACCAAGGCTTGCCAGACTGTCAAGGGTACCCATAGGCCCTAAAGTAGTTCCTTTTTGGGGTTCATATATAGAATCCTATAAGGTAACCCCAAAAAGGAACTACCATGGGGCCTATGGGTAGGTAGACCCTAAACCCTAAACCCTAAACCCTATAAACCCTACACCCTAAACCCCCATAACAGTGCCTAATTTGCCCCAAAAAGGAACTGCTATGGGGCCTATGGCTGCAGCACAGTGGCCAACTCCTACCTACGCCTACCACGCTGCACTTGCAACCCCTCTTCAGACTTAAGGACGAGCTCAACACTAGACCCTAACCCTAAACCCTAAACCCTAAACCCTAAACCCTAAACCTTGAACCCTAAACCCTAAACCCTAAACCCTAAACCCTAACCCTAAACCTTAAACCCTAAACCAACAGCCCCCCAAGCCAGAATCCGGGCCCGACAAGGCCGAAAACCGAAGAAACTGAAAGTCGTAAACCCTAAAAACATTGTCCCCATATGGGAGTTTCCGAAAATAAGGGGTACCGTTCCTTTATTTTGGGGGTCCTTATAATCAGGATCCTACTATTCCTATTCAGGGTACTATATTGGGGTCCCCTATTTTCTGAAAACCCCATATAGATGCTTAGGACCCTTTGGGACGGTGGTAAACCCTAAAAACCCTGTCCCCATATAGATACTTAGGACCCTTTGGGAAAGTGGCCCAAGCACCCCATCATCCGAGGCCCTGGCAGCATGTAGGTGGCAGCTGCTTTTGTGAAGGGGCAGCTGTCGCAAAAGCAGCTCGCTTCGCTAGCCAAGGCGAAGGGTCCTGAGAGGTTTTCGTTTGGTTTAGAGTTTAAGGTCTCCTGGTGTGGGGCTTGGGGTTTCGGGCTTAGGGTTTTTGAGCTACTGTCCCAAGGGGTCCGAAGTGTCTTTATGGGGAATACTTACCTAAACCAGAACAGTAATTCCTACTGCAGAAACCCGACTTTCTACTTTACAGGTATGTAGAGGGCCTGAGACATGTTGTGTTTTATTCCAGTCGTCTTCGGGGTGGCGGTGGTGGTAGTAGTAGTAATAACATGTTGTGTTATAGCAGAGGTGGTGGTGTTAGTAGTAGTAAGTAGTAGAACGTAGTAGTAGTAGTGGCGGTAGCGGTAGTAACAGTACATGTAATACCAGCAGCAGCAGCAGCAGCAGCAGCAGCAGCAGCAGCAGCAGCAGCAGCAGCAGCAGAGATGGGTACAGTGAGTGTTGTCGCGATGCTGCAGCAGTGGCTGCAGCTGCTGCAGTTGTGTCGTCCCTGGTGATTTCATGGACTCGGCCCACGGCCCACGGTAGTGGCCTTTTGGGCTTAGGGCGTGCTTTCCCGGCTTGATAGCTGCAACAGCGAAGTGTAAAGGCATACGGAACACCACTGTGCTTTCAAGATGCTACCGAGAACACACAAGATCGCTCCAAGGTAGTGGGAGCTCAGTAGAATAGAAACCCCTGCGTAACCTGACCAAATGCTTAAGGCACTGACTCCAAAGTCCCGTGCGCATTCTCTGAAGACGTTCACGGAGTTGGACATCTGGGGCCTATAAGCACCTCTTCTAACCAGCACACTCCTAAACACAAAGAACCCCAAAACCCTAAATCCGAAACCTGAACCCT